GGAATGCTCAGCCACCTCTCCCCATCCTGGCTCCTTCAGCAGCTGGAACCGGGACAGGCCATGGGTTGTGTGAGGAAGGGAGATGTCCATGAGAGAGGATAAATGCTGGAGCTTGAAGGAGAATTGGCCTCCCAATCAGTGAGGGAGAGAGGGATGGGGAAGGGCAGGTGGTTCCTAAACAACTGTGTCCCCCGAGAAGGTGCCGGGAAGTCCCGTCTGCTGCCCATGGACACCAGTGTCTACGAGAGCCCCTACAGTGACCCCGAGGAACTGAAGGACAAGAAACTGTTCCTCAAGAGGGACCACCTGATGATTGATGAAGTGGAGCTGGGGGCAGGAAACTTTGGCTGTGTCAAGAAAGGAGTCTACAAAATGAGGAAGTGAGTGTTACCCGGAGGGGTGAGGAGGGAGCTGGAGGAGAGAGATCCGGGCTGGGCTCAGGGGTGTCCCCAGTTATCCTGTTTCTAGCCGGATGGACCCTAAAATGATAATGGGGTGGAGGTATAAGAGATAGTCTGGAAGGTCAGTGGTGGTGGATCTGGTGGAGTCGGCACCACTAGAAGTGGTCAAAAACCAAGTGGATGTGGCACTTTGTGCTATGGTTTAGTGGGTGATGGTGGGACTCATTGATGATCTTAGAGGTCTTTCCCAACCCTAATGATTCAATGATATTATGGTATGATACTATGATTTTATGACTTTTCATGGGTTTTCAGTGACAGCCTCACTGCCCTGAGGGTGAACCTGCCCCACACACTCCTGGGCACACCCCTGCCACTTCTGAAGAACCCCAGAATGGTTTGGGTCGGGAGGAACCTTAAAGATCATCTGATTTCAATACCCTGAATGTACTTCATGGACTCAGAGGAGCAGGTCCATGTTCCTGAGGTCAGGTCCACGTTCCTGAGGCAAAGGAGTGAGACTGAGGACATGTGCCATCTCTGGCTCTCTTACTCTTGAGCCCACACAGATGGTCCTCACCTACTTTGTGCCTCAGTTTCCTCCTTGAAGAGTGGCAGCAATGACACAGATCTTTGTGAGGTGATGTGCCTTCAGATCTACAGATGGCAACTCCTGACCTACCCTTAGGAGGGTGAGGTGATCCTTTCCTCTTTGGCCTGGGATACCAGGATGGTGCAGGGCTCTGCCAAAACAGTCTGTTGAGAGGTCCAACAGCATCACTCGAGAAGTGTTTTGCATTCCTGGCTGCGATACCTGAATCCAGCTGCTGCTCAGCTCATCCCACACGTGTTCCTCTTGCAGGAAGCAGATTGATGTGGCCATAAAGGTGCTGAAGAGCAACAACGAGAAAACGGTGAAGGATGAGATGATGAAGGAAGCCCAGATCATGCACCAGCTGGACAACCCCTACATCGTCCGCATGATCGGGGTCTGCGAGGCAGAGTCCCTGATGCTGGTGATGGAAATGGCTTCTGGAGGGCCCCTCAACAGGTTCTTGGCCTCCAAGAAGTGAGTATTGAATTAAATGTCTCTGGCTGATTTTCTGGTGCTGGGTGAGCCGAGCTTTGGAGGTGCAGAGAACCTGCAATGTCTCTTCATGTGGGATAAGAGAGACTGAACAGAGATGTCCCTGTTCATTCTCCCTTGAAGCTGGAAAATTCAGAGGGGACCATGGCAGGTCCTTTATTAGTGAATTATCCCTTCATCTTCCCCAGAGACGAGATTGCAATCAGCAATATCGTGGAGCTGATGCACCAAGTGTCCATGGGGATGAAGTACTTGGAGGAGAAGAACTTTGTCCACAGGGACCTGGCAGCCAGAAACGTCCTGCTGGTGAACCAGCACTATGCCAAGATCAGTGACTTTGGGCTCTCCAAGGCTCTTGGTGCTGATGACAGTTACTACAAGGTGAGTGTGAGGAGCAGGAGCCCTCCTGGCTGGGGGCTGAGACCCCCAGAGACAGAGGCTTTGGGCTCCTCAGGAGCTGCACAACAACGTCAAACTCTGGCTGGTCTCACTGCTGGGACACTAAAAGGGGGTTTGCAAAGCTCTGGGTCCCAAGGAGGACATTCAGATGGCTGCAGAGGCAGCGAGGGGGACGTGGTGCAGTGAGATGAGAGGAGCCAGAGCAAAGAGCAGGGAAGAGAAGGAGATGAAAAGTGAGCCAGGGCTGCTCTTCCCAGCAGCGAGAACCAGAGACCCCACCTGGAATCCTGGGTCCAGCTCTGGGGCCCCCAGCACAAGAAATGAATGAGTCCAGACAAGGCCACCAGGTTATCCCAGGGCTGGAGCCAGGCTGGGAGAGCTGGGGGGGTTCCAGCTGGAGAGGAGAAGGATACAAGGAGACCTTAGAGCTCCTTCCACTGCCTAAAGGGGCTCCAGGAGAGCTGGACAGGGACTTGGGACAAGGGAGGGAGGGATAGAACAAGGGGAATGGCTTCCCACTGCCAGAGGGCAGGGATAGATGGGATATTGGGAAGGAATTGTTGGCTGCAAGGTTGGGGAGGCCCTGGCACAGGTTTCCCAGAGCAGCTGTGGCTGCCCCATCCCTGGAAGTGTCCAAGGTCGGGTTGGACGGGGTTTGGAGCAACCTGGGCTGGTTGAAGGTGTCCCTGCCCATGGCAGGGGGTGGGACTGGATGGGCTTTAAGGTCCTTCCAACCCAAAGCATTCCATGATTCTGTGATTAAACCCCTGGGGTTGAGGTGCAGGAGCAGGGGGGCAGGAGGGTCAGCATCCTGCACTCTGTGTCCTGCACAACAAGCTCCAGCCTCCAGGACTGGGGTTTGGAGCTCAGGATTTAGGGGATTTTTTCAGCACTGTGGGATTGCCCTGGACACAAACTTTTAGCAAAGCAGGATTCCTGCCCAGCTCCCAGCTCTGTGTCTCAGGGTGGGAATGCTCCCCTTTGCTCTGCTCCAGGCCAGGACAGCAGGGAAGTGGCCCCTCAAGTGGTATGCCCCCGAGTGCATCAACTACCACAAGTTCTCCAGCAAGAGCGACGTGTGGAGCTACGGTGTGACCATGTGGGAGGCCTTCAGCTACGGGCAGAAACCCTACAAGGTGAGGATGGAACCCTACAAGGTGAGACAGAAACCCTACAAGGTGAGGATAGAACCCTACAAGTTGAGACAGAAACCCTACAAGGTGAGCTAGAAACCCTCAAGGTGAGACAGAAACCCTACAAAGTGAGACATAAAATCTTCGAGGCAGAAACCCTACAAGGTGAAGCAGAAGCCCTACAAGGTGAGGCAGAAACCCTACAAGGTGAAGCAGAAACCCTAAAAGGTGAGGCAGAAACCCTACAGGGTAAGGCAGAAATCCTACAAGGTGAGGATGGAACCCTAAAAGGTGAGACAGAGCCGGGTCCATCACAGGTGGATGACACAGTCACAACTGACACACACAGAAACTACAATTCCTATTTCCTTAAGTGAGTGTTCCCACTGTTGGACAGAGGGGAAAGGACTCAGGTCCACTTGCACTTCATGGAAGGCACGATGAGGTTGGATCCTGCAGCTCTGTGTTCATTGGAGGGAGAAGAAACAGAAAACAAACTAAATTCATTTGGGTTTGGGTCAAAGCAGATCTTGTCTTTGGTCCTTCTGCTCACTTGCAGAGCTGAAAAGTCACTTTTCAACCACTGCCGTGCCTGGGGTGGGGTCTGCAGGGTGGGTGGGATGGGATCAGCAGGATAAAGTCTGGAGTCTGGGCAGGATGGGGTCTGCAGGGTGGGTGGGATGGAGTGTGCAGGATGGGGATTGGGGTCTCTAGGCTGGGTGGGATGGGTCTGCAGGATGAGGTCTGGAGTCTGGGCAGGATGGAGTCTGGAGGGTGGGTGGGATGGGGTTGGCAGGATGGATGTGATGGGGTCTGCAAGATGGGCCACAGCCTGAGACACCGTGTGTGGGTGCTGGGGTTGGAAACGGTGATGCAGTTGTGGCCCATGGGTCCAAAGCTTTACCCCAGGCCCAGCTCTGACCTGTCTCCTCTAACCCTGTGGCAGCTCCAAGAACATTAATGCATTTCCTACTCCATCCTGTCCTAGAAAATGAAGGGCCCAGAGGTGAACAGCTTCATCGAGCAGGGCAAGCGCCTGGACTGTCCCAGCGACTGCCCCGCAGAGATGTTCGCCCTCATGCAGCAGTGCTGGACCTACAGGTGAGGCTCTCACCAGCTCAGCTCTTTGCTGGGTGGCAGGTCCATCAGAACCACAGAATCCCAAAATGGTTTGGTTTGGAAGGGACCTTAAAGATCACCTCATTCCAAGCCCTGCCGTGAGCAGGGACACATTTGGCCAGGCCAGGCTGGAGCACGTTGAATGGTGACAACACAAAGCAACTGGTCTCTCCTGCCTTGGTCACTCCCCACTCCATGATGAACCTTTTATTACCATCCTCCTCCGTTTGCCTGTGCCAATCCTGGGAGTTGTCCAAGCTCTGTGTCTTTGACCCTCTCCATCCCAGAACAGTCTGAGCTGTCCTAAGCCCTGGTACGACTGGGCTGCTGTTCCTCCCCAGGTTCTCTGTGTTTTGTATCTTCTCATTGCATCAGTCTGCTCTTGTCCCCTCTGTTGACCCTTCTTGTTCCTCTCTGCCCTCTCAGGTGGGAAGAACGTCCAGGATTTGTAGAAGTGGAAAACACAATCCGCTCCTACTACTACAGTATTGCTGCCAAGACAGAAAATGGGCCACAGACAGAGGACAAGTCCAAAGCAGCCCTTCCCTGAGCTTCCTTCTCTGCTCCTCAACACACCCCCACCTGCATGGGACCTGGAAAGGCTCCTTGTGAAGTTTTGCTTTAATCTCTCAAATGCTGGTTTTGTTTCTCAAGCAGTTCCAGACCGAAGCACCTGGGAGACGATGCTGTCCCAGCACAGGGGACACTCAGCTGTGCCTCCTGTCAGCATCAGGCCATGATCACCTCCAGCCTGACCTGGCACAGGGTGGTACAGACAGTATTAGAGCTCCTTCCTACCCAATTCCAAAGCTATCCCAGGACCTCCCCTCTATGGAGACCTTCAAAACCCACCTGGACACGTCCCTGTGTCACCTGCTCCAGGTGACCCTGCCTTGGCAGGGGGGTTGGGCTGGATGATCTCCAGAGCTCCCCTCCAACCCCAACAATTCTCTGATTCAGTGATTCTCAGACCTCAGAGCTTTGTGCTTACCAGTCTCACCAAGGATGAACTGTGTTGGCTGCAGCAGATCTGGATCTTTCCAGACAGCTTCACGTACAATTCTTTGACAGGAAACCACCGAGGTGGCATTTCTGGTGAGCTTTGAGTGGGGTGTGACACAGGACAGGGAGCCACTGAGTCCCCTTCCCCCTTGGCTTAGGGCAAGAAGCAGCTGGGCTGGGGAGGAGCAGTGGGACCCACTGGCTTGTCCTCCTGCCCCTGCCAGGCTCTTCTTATCCCCCTGGGCACTGCCAGCCCTGTTCAGCACAGAGCAGGGCTTCACACACCCTCCAAGGTGGTCATGGCTCCTAAAGATCTAAATTCCAGGGCCCATTCCTCACCTCCTGGATCCCACCTGGCCCCTCTGTGTTGATGAAATGAGCATCTTGTTCTTCAAGCCTGGTCATCCTCTAAATAAACTATTCTAAATTTTTTTTAACACACCTATGGCTCAGATTATTGAACTGCTTCAACCTGATAACTAAATACTTGTAGTTTCCTTCTACTAGGCCAGGATTTCACTCCCTGATGGTCTCCTTGACCAACCAGGTGACTCTTGGGCTGGTTTTGCTGCAGGGATGGAGTCTTTTCTTGCAGCTTTCTTGCAGCTCAGCTGAGTCCCCTGTGGAACCCTCCTGGTTGACCCGTGGTGGGACTGTGGCCTGCCCTGCTGCAGAGCCCAGGGGGGTTGTGAAGGTTGGGGAAACAGAGGAAGCAGAAGATCTGAGCCCCGTGGTACAGTGACTACAGAAGCTTATCTCTCACCATTTCCTGGTGCCTGAGAAGCCACACAGCAGCTCACACACAGCACCTTGTCCTGGGGCAAAGCAAACTGCTGCAGTCCATGGGCACAGCCCCCATCTAAAGCACTGATGGGAGGTGGATTTGCTCTGAAGACAAAGTTCCTGGGGAGCATCAGGTGTGGGGCTTGAATTAACCTCTGGTACAGCCTGTTCAGAGAACTCGGGTTTGATGAAAACCAAGTGTTGCCCTCTCCTTGCTTAGACTGAAGCCTCCAGTGACACCAACTACTTATGTGCCAAAGCATTTTCTGTCTCAATCCCATGAGCTTGTCCTGTGTGTTGAACCATGGACACATTATCCCTGCCAGCAGAGAGGAAAACAGGTATCAGAGGAGAAACTGCCTTGTTCCTGTTTGTTCAGTCAGTGGCAGAGACAGGAAAAAAATTATTCTCTATGTCATGTTTTCCTCCCAGAGAAAGCTGGAAAAGAGAAAGTTCAGTGTGTTTTCTACTTGAGAACCACTGCCAAGGAGTTTTGCTTAGACCTTGCTTTCAAAACAAATCCATCTTCTGGTTTGAAATGATCTCTCATATTAAATTTTCAGCAAACTGGTCACTGCTAAAGGAAAGTACCAGAAAAGTCATATTCCCAGAGAAGCCTCTGGTTTAGCTGGAGACAATTTGAAGCGAGTGTGTGTATCCACACCCTGACATAAATCCCTTGAGGTTATGCCTGAAGACTAAGGGCAGGGGTTTATCCTCCAGTCTGGGCTGTGGATGTTGCTCTGGCTGTTCCAAGAGCATCACAAAATGCCAGGAGTTGCTGGAGAGGAAAAAAAAAGAGGGAGACAACAAGGTCCTGAAGTCACAGGGCTCTGTGGCTCAAGAGTCTTTGTGATTCCTGCTTTGGGGGTGTGCAGGGGCTGAGGGGAGTGCCCTGGGCACCCCCAGTGTGCCATCACAGCAGGGGCTCAGCCCCTCAGTGAGACACATCTCCAGGTCCTCTCTCCTTGCTCCCTGCTGGTATGTCCAAATAGTAAAACACTCTCCTGGACCTTCTGGCTGATCCCAGAGTCTCTGGGTGTCAGAGCAAGAGCTGTGGCCCTGCTGAGATAAAGGCAGAAGCTGCAGTTGGCACAGGCTCGGAGCTCGGTGCTCTGTGGCTCATGCTGCTTTCCCCAAAACTTCCCCAAATCCTCTCTTTTCTTGCTGGTTTCTCCTTACCTCCTTCTCTCCACTCACCCATCTCCCTCTGTTTTACCTGAACCTTTCAAGCTCTCCTGACTCTTTCACTCTACATCTTGCAAGGGAAAGGATGAACTTCATCTTCTCACTGAGCACCCGCAGCGATAACGTGAGACGTGACAAAGTGTTGGTGACCAACCGTGTCTGATCAACACCATGGAACACCCCAGGTACCCCCAAGCTGATCTATCTCATTCCAACCTATCTTATCACCAGGACAGCCTTGTTATCAGTTGCAAGTCACACAAGGACAAACCGACCCCTCTATCTCTCCCACGTATCAGGAACTTCTGTTTTGTTCAGCAGCCCAGATGTGACTCACACAGCTCTGGGTTCACTGACCATTATGCTAGACCCCTCAATAATTTGCTGAACCAGTGTAGAAGTGTATTTTCAAAGCCAGTGATGGCTGTTTTCCCCTCTCCCCCCAAGAAGTTCTGCTCCTGATGTTCATGTTCCTCAGGGTTTTCTTCTCCCACAAGCCTGCCCAGCACTTAAATATCTGGCAACCATTAAAGCACAGAATGCTGCCAGAAATACACCTCAAAATCACAGATTTCTCTATGAAAGTCAGGTGAATCACTGACTCTACACTGTCCCCTTCCCTCCCTCCATGACAGGACATCAGCTTGTTTCTAAACACATCAGAAGGAGAGGCCAGGGAAGGGAAGGATTTGTTGCACAGGGACCTGGAAAAAAAGCTCCCATCCACCTTTATTTTCATACTTTCTTCTCTAGGTGATGTCTCCTTTTTATGTTCAAAGGCCTTCGTGGTTCAGAGAAGCCAAAACACACTCGGAGCCATCACAGGCATCCAAATACTCAACAGTGGCCCCCTCTGCTCTCCTGAGACCCCACCTGGAATGCTGTGTACAGCTCTGGTGCCAACAACACAAGAAGGACATGGAACTGTTGGAGCAAGTCCAGAGGAGGCCACAAAGTTGAACAGAAGACTGGAGCACCTCCCCTATGGAGACAGGCTGAGAGTGTTGGGGCTGTTCCTCCTGCAGCGGAGAAGGTTGTGTGGAGACCTCAGAGCCCCTTCAAGTATCAGAAGGGGCTACAAGAACCCAGAGAGGGACTATTTATCAGGAATTTTAGTGATAGGACAAGGGGAAATGGGTTTAAACTGAAAGAGGGGGAATATAGATTGGCCATGGGGAAGAAACTCTTCCCTGGGAGGGGTGGGGAGGCCCTGGCACAGGTTGCCCAGAGCAGCTGTGGCTGCCCCATCCCTGGAAGTGTCCAAGGCCAGGTTGGATGGGGCTTAGAGCAACCTGGGCTGGTGGAAGGTGTCCCTGCCCATGGCAGAGGGTGGGACTCGATGATCATTAAGGTCCCTTCCAACCCAAATCATTCTGGGATTCTAATTAGCCAAATCTTATTGCAGAAGCTTCTACCATCACCCCCTACACGAGAGGAAAAAAGGATGTTCAAGGCACTGGAAGATGCAAACCAAGGTGCCAAATTAGATGCTCTTCACTGATATGAGGAGTGCATGTAATGGGGCTGGTTTAGTTATCAACAAATATCCAAGTTCTGAGGAAAAGAAATTCCCATTTCACAGCAGGAGGAAATCACTTCGTTTGCCACCAGGAAATCCAAGGGAGCAGGTGACACTTGGACTGAGCCAAAAGACCTTTTCAGTTTTCAAATGTTACCTTGGTTTTGCCTGTCAGAAATCTCTGTGCTGGCAGGATGAACTGTAAATATTCTTCACGGGTGTTTTTTCCTTTGGTCAGCAACGGAAACCTTGGAAAATAAGAGAGGTGTTGGTTCTAGACTTGATGATCCTTGTGGGTCCCTTCCAACTTGAGATATTCCGTGATACTGTTGGAGAGTGGTATGAAATTCATCCTCACTCATCTCTTCCAGCTCGCAGCAGGGCAGGAGCCCCCCTGTGAGGGGAGGACAGCACTGGGACACTCCTGCCTGCCCCGTTGGAGCCAAGGCACCCAGCCAGGACCTGCAGAGAGCCAGGAGGGGCAGAGAGCAGCAGACACACGCCAGGGCACCAAGAGAGGCTGGGTTTGTCCCTGGCTGCCAGCACAGGCAGTGATGGGTGGTTTTCTCAGCTGATTCTCTGAGCTGGTTTCTGTGGCCCTCAGTGACAGGTTTGGTCAGTGTGAGGTGCTGCTCTGCTCCCTCTGCACGGGCAGCTCCGGGCAGGGTGGTGGTGTCCCCACTGCCTCTCCAGGGCACTTTGGGCAGGTCTGAGGTCCATAGAAATGTAGCCTGGAGGGTTTGTGAGTACCCAGGAATTTGGCTCTTGATCTGAGATTCCCCCCTTATGTTCCATCCAGGATGAGAGGATATAGTATTAAGCTGCACTTGGAGAGGTTTAGGTTGGACATTAGGAAAAATTTCTTCATAGAAAGGCGGATTAGACCTTCAAAGGAGCTGCCCAGGGAGGTTTGGAGACCCCATCCCTGGAGGTGTTCAAGGAACGACTGGACGTGGCACTCAGTGCTCTGGGCTGGGGGACAAGGTGGGGATCAGGCACAGGTTGGACTTGATGGTCTTGGAGGTGTTTTCCAACCTAAATGATTCTGGGATTCTGTGATCCTCCCTATCTTGTCCACTCA